AAGTTGCGCATAAATGAAATACAATAATTTCTCCAACTAAAACCTGAACACAGACTTCCTGTCAATCTCAAAGGAACTCATACTTATCAAGCCACATACACTGAATGTAAAGTGTACACACATTTCTGTTGAAATACCAGTTTTTGTCATTAAAAAAAAAGATCCAAATAAATCATTTAAAAGTGTTTCCCACCTTTCGTGTGACCTATAACCAGTACAGTTCAATTGAATCATCTGTTAGGGAAGGGAGTCTACCAGCATGCTACATCTTGACTTGGTTGTCCACTTTTGTCAGCTTCTGAGGGCCTTTCTTGTGCACAACCATCTTCAGGGTAATTTTCTACTGGTGAAGCCATTATCTATTTGATTTGCATACTTAGAGTCATTGTCATGCTAAAAAGGTAAAATTCCTCTTCAGCTGTCTGGTAGACTCCAAAAGGATTTGGGTCAAAAGTGACAGGTGTACAAAACTGTAATTACCTCGCACGATCTGATATCGTCGTGTTGGTGTTGTTCCCAGATCATCATACTAAATGTTGTGCCAGGATCAACATGGCAAGTGACCAATCAGAATGTTGTGACGTCATACTTTTGCGACTTCGGGAAAAACCGCCGTAAAACAAAAAACTGTACTTAAACTGCGAGAAACCGCCTCTGTCCTCCAATCAACGGACCCTGACCCTTTAATAAACGGTAAGCAGAATTGATATTGTCCTTGCAACATTGGAATTTCATAAATGCACGAATGGCTTGGTGCGCAAAACAATAACGTCACAACAATGTGATTGGTCACTTGCAATGTTGAACCTGGAACAACATTTTCATGATGATCTGGGAACAACACCAAAACGACGATATCAGATCATCCAATTACCTCCACCTTGACTAAAGCCCCGGTTTCAGCTAAAGAAAAGCAACCTAAAAATGATACCACCACCATGCTTCACGGTGGGTATGATGTTCTATTGGTGTATTTTTGTACCAAACATACCAAACCTTTTTTTTTTTTTTTGTCTTTATCAGAAAAGGCTTCCATTTTGCAACCCTACACCATAGTCCAGACATAAGGAGAACACTGGATATTGTTGTCACATGTAGTATACAACAAGGACTTGCCAGTACTGGAGCTTCAGCTCTTTTAGTGTTGCTGTAGGTCTCTGGGCAACTTCTCTGACCGGTTTACATCTTGTCTTTTCGTTCATTTTGCAACTAAGTCCAGTTCTTTCCAGTGTAATTATTGTCCTATTTTTCCCTCTACCTTTTGATGGCCGTCTTCTCTGTGCTCAATGAAATTTCAAATACTGTGAAAACATTTTTTGTACACTTCTTGCAACTGATACCTTTCAACAGTGAGATCCTTTGCAACCCATGGCTTTTGGCTGAAGCAGGCAACTGAGTAAATCTCAGAGAAATCCTCTTAGGACAGCTGAACTTTATTTGGGATTAACCAGAGTCTCTAATTGATGGCAGCTGTGTACCCAAGAAGACTCAAAAGATGCTTCAAAGTCCTAGATTATTGGTGTACGCAACAAGCCTATTGTACTTTTGTAGTGTATATTTTCCCTAACAGATTTGTTTTCCAATTGAATTGTACAGGGGATATACTGTATACCATTAAAGGTGGGAAAAATTGTATTGATTGCATCATGAAAAAAAAACAGCATTTTACCATTGGTGTGTACACTTTCTGTCCACTGTTCAGTATATAATATATAGACAGCTCACCGGGGGAGTCACCTGTCATTCAAAATACTCATGCCACATAAAAATGCACAACTTACCTCTTAAAACAGGTGAGATTGAAGATTCGCCCTTTTGTTCTGCACATCTTGGCAGTTTTGGGCAATTGTCACTGGCTTTATTGTTCAACCCCCTGATATTATAGCTTGATTATAACTTGTCTTGTTTTTTTTTTAAATAATAAAACAACCCTCACATCATGCCTGTGCCTTTCTTCACTTTCACAGGTTTAATGAGACCTTCCGCTTCCTATTCTGGACCATGTTTGGAGTTGTAAACCAGGAATATGTGGACATGCCAGAGTTTGTGTTGGCAGAATTTGTAGGAAGGATCCTGTATGGCATCTTCACTCTTGTCATTGTCATTGTACTTCTCAACATGCTTATTGCCATGATAACAAACTCCTTTCAGAAAATTGAGGTAAAGAATTACCATCCTCCTGTGTAACGTCTACAAAAGCCCCCCCCCCCTTTCTGGGATGCGCACTGACCGATGTGCATTTATCTTACTTCAGGATGACGCGGACGTTGAGTGGAAATTTGCCAGGTCAAAGCTGTACCTCAGCTACTTCAGAGAGGGCCTCACCATGCCTGTGCCTTTCAACATCATTCCCTCCCCCAAAGCCATTTTTTACATCCTAAGGTGAGCTGCAAAAATACAGATTTTAAACTAGAAAAACAGCCTTTTGTTCTGATTTTTAAAAAATGTTTTAAATATATATTTTTAAAAATTCCATTCAAGGGGCATCTTTAGACGAATCTGCTGCTGCTGCACTTGTTCCTCTGAGCAAAAATATCCCCCCATAGCCTCTATAGTAAGTGTGTATGAATTTGATTTTAGTAAAAGAATATATTATCTTTTACATTTTACTTAATATATGTTAATTATACTCTATATGGCATTTAACATGTTTTATGCTATCTGTATTCTGTAAAAAGTCCAATGATAAGGGGTCTGAAGATGGCCAGTTATCGTACCGTCAGCAGGTGATCACGGCACTGGTGCAGCGCTACATTGAGTCAGCTCGCAGGGAGTTTGAGGAGACCAAGAGGAAAGGTAATGACTCTTTCAGTAAGCACTTGATTAGTTTTGTAGAGCGGATATACCCTATATGGAAAAAGTATTGGGCCACACCGCTTAATCTTAAGTTCAGGTGTTTTCAGTTCCATTATCACAGGTGTATAGAATCAAGCATCTTGGCATGCAGTCTGCCTTTACAAACAAAAGAGGAAATAATGGATCATTCTAAAGAGGTCATTGTGCCAATGATCTGCTGACTCAGTAACACCAGAGCTCCAAACCTTCTCTTACATTAACATCAGCACAAAAGCTTCATTTCATGGTCAGGCACCTTTTGTTGATCTAATGTTTCAGTCCATATAGTGTGTAATTTGACTTCCTGACTAATCTTGCTTTGCTACTGACAAAGAGATTAAGGCTTGGGTTCCCAGACATGGATCATATTCTATAAATCAGCTCTATGATTTTAGCAGGTTTTCTTCTTCTTTTTTAAGCACTGATTTCAGTTTTAAGTAAATTATTAATCATTAAAAAGCTTGTGGTGTGACTAAAGTGTTTTCTTCCCTCAGATATTGGAAATCGAATGACTGAGCTGAGCAAAGCGGTCGCCAGGATGCACAACGATCTGAAAGTCGCCCAGCAGTACGCAATGGATGATGGAAACGATACAAGCGATGCCCTGACCAAGAATGGCTCCTCTGTACTGGGGAAATACATCACTGGTGCCAAGAACAATTTCAGAGGTTTTACCACCAGACAAGATGACAAATGCACAGCTCTTAAGGTGACTGTGCACAGCATTGAGGAAAAGCTGGATAAAGAAAAGTTTGAAGCACAGATGGAATCAGACATTCAACAGAATGAGGTGGATGAATGTAGAGACGAGGGACAGTTTCCTGACTCTGTTGTGGTGAAGATGGAGGAAGGCCGAGCTCAGGCTGAACAAGAGGAAAAGAAGGAAATTAACTCAGATGAGAAGGAGAAAGCAGCCAAAAGTGAAATTAGTGTAAATAAAGTGAAAGAGGAGAAAAAAGGAGGAAACGGTTTTATTAACACAGAAGAAACGGTGAGTGACGAGGCCACGGATGAAGAAGCAGAAACCCTAAATGAAGGAGGGATGAACAAAGAGGGAAGAGTGCTGGATGAACACATGACCTCTGCACATGCCGAGAGCATCGAAGTGAGTGACGAAAATATAGAAACCCAAAAAATAATCAGCAAGTTCAATCACATTGAGCTGCAAGAAAAAAAAGCAGCACAACCGAGCTGGATGAACGGAAGAAAGCCTGAGCATAATGTAGCAGAGACGCCTCACAATGAAAAACCTGAAATGAAGAAAATGATTCCTTCACCTACAGGAAGCAGCAGCTCCCAGGACACAGGCTTTGGTTCCCAAGAGGGGGAAGAATCGATCGATGGCACACCAGTGAGACCTTAACCTGTGAGGTGACCTTGCTGCCTCTTTGGTCACTTTATGCAATATCTGACAAGAGTCTGCAGTTGAGCAGAGTTTTGAGATGTCCACTTTTTCCCCCCATGTCTTAAAAAGTAAACAAAGGATCAGCAGAGAAACTGTCAGTTTGCATGCAAGATATTTTCCACTACCTAAAAACATTTACTTTTATCCATTCATCTTTAGATTGCCAAACATTTTGTCATGTAGTCTATTTCTAAGCCCAAGGATGAAAACTGCAGAGGCTTGCCAGCAATGCTTTAGACCTTCTTCATACCTTTAGAAAACCCCTCTTTAGATGTCTTGCAGTTTGTGTGCAGATCAAACAAAGTATAGTTGAAAGTTTTAATAAATGAGCTTTAAGGATGTTTGGGTGCAGATGTGTGTAGCAACTGTAGCTCTCTGGATACCTGAGATAAGCTGGATAAGCTTCTGAGCTTGCTTTCATCTCCCAAGACGATTCCATTTCATTTAGGTTGTTAGTTATTTATCAGACTGCTGTTAAAGTTTTCAATTTACATTCATTGAAATAAAAGTCTCGTGTCTTAAACAGTGTCGCCTCCTTTTATTTCCATCAGGCAGCTAACCTATACACGTTGCTACATTGCAACAATACAGGTCTCAGCTTGCTTTATACATAATACTCCCATGAGGTCTCATGCAGGAACACACTGGCTCATTAATTCATCACCTGCAGCAGCATTGGTCCCATGGCACATATCCAAACTCTTGCACTGGAAAATCACCTCAGCTTATGACCTTTTCTATCACAATGTCTCCTTAAACTTTGTTTTTGTTCTCATCAGCCCAACTTAAGCCCAGCGCTTGTCCGACAGGTTTTGATGTCTTGTAGCAAAATCCAAAACTTGTACACAGTATCTTTGAAAATAATTATGCTGAATCTCAGACCACTGGATAATATTTTATTTCTATTTATTTATTTAAAAATGCAGGTCAACCTGAATTCATTAATATGACCCACCTGAATGTAAAAGAAATATTAATTCTATACAAAACATGCATACGATTGTCTGAGCGTAGCAAACTTCATTTAAGAGCCACACATCAGGCATTCGTCTTTGTTTGCTAAGGAACAGACCATGGCTGCGGTATTGCGCTCTTTGGTCTCCTCCTCCACGCTCTTAGCCGATTGGCCCTCCTTCAGTTTCTCTTTGTTCAGGGTGAATTGAATGGGGTTGGCAGCAGGCTTTGTCCGCAGGTAGTACATGCCAGTTTTCAGGCCCTGTGGAGGGAGGAAAAAAAATGGGAAGGTTTCAAACAGTGTTTGGATATTTCTCCATTTCCACCTTGACCATGAATCAGTTGGTCCTAACTTACCAACTTCCAGCCATAGAAGTGCATGCTACTAAGTTTTCCATAGTTTGGCTCAGCAATGTGAATGTTAAGCGACTGGCTTTGGTCAATGTATGCACCACGATCTGCTGCCATCTTGAGGACCGTCTTCTGGGAGATTTCCCACACAGTTTTATACAGCTGCTTCAGATCATCTGGGATCTCATCAATGTTCTGAAAAGAAGAGGGACAAATTCACATTTTATTTGTCCTCCACAAGTGAAGTTGGGCTTAATTATAGGAACAATTGGAGCAGTGAAATGGAACAACTGAATAAGCCTTTTACCTGGATGGATCCATTATGAGCTATGAGCTGATTCTTCATATCCTCGTTCCACAGTCCTCTTTCTGTGAGGTCTTTCAGCAGGTGAGGATTCACAATCTATAGGACAGGTTGAAAACACACATAGTAGCCTTGCCTTTGCTGTGCACATGTCTTAACACACAGTACGACAGATGCATTCAGCACTCACCTGAAACTCTCCTGAAAGCACCCTGCGGGTGTAGATGTTGCTGGTGTATGCCTCGATGGACTCATTATTACCCAGGATCTGGGCAGTGGATGCTGTGGGCATTGGGGACAAAAGCAGGCTATTCCTCACACCATGCCTGAGGATGGACAGGAGTAAGAACTATGGCCACCACTTATGGTTAACGTGAGCAGTAAATGGAAAACCAGGCATTCAGGAAAACTTACTTGGCAATCTTCTCCTTTAGCGCATTCCAGTCACATAAATCAGTTGGGGTCTTATTCCACATTTCATACTGAAGGATCTGAAAAAACAAACACGTCTTTGTTAGGTTTTGATCTCAAACTGCTAAAATGTATCCCAGGATGGTTTTGAGACACTGTGATATCTACTCACTCCTTTGCTGACAGGAGAGCCGGGGTAGGTTTCATAAGGGCCAAGCTCTGCTGCCAACTCACAACTGGCCTCCAGGGCAGCGTAGTACATGGTCTCAAAGATCTGAATGTTGAGCAACTGGGCCTCTGGGCTTTCAAACGGATAGCGCATGAGGATAAAGGCATCAGCCAGACCCTGCACACCAATTCCAATTGGCCTGTGACGCTTGTTAGACCTTTCAGCCTGTAAAGAGGGACGGAGAAGTTTTGTTTACATAGAGCTTATGAAACCCAGCTGCATGGCTGCAACACCAGAAAGGAAGTCATACCTCAGGCACTGGGTAGTAGTTTATATCGATAATCTTGTTCAGGTTCTTGACAATGACTTTGGTAACAGATGCAAGTTTCTTGAAGTCATAGGTCTTTTCTGGTGTAACGTACATGTTGACGGCGATGGAAGCCAGGTTACACACTGCAACCTGAGTTAGGAGAACAAACCAAACTGAAAACAAGTTCTGACAGAATAATACACATAGTTGTCCCAAAAAGCTAAATTTGTTGTGACCAGTACATCTTCTACCCCTCACCTCATCTTTGCTCGTGTACTCTACGATCTCTGTGCACAGATTGCTGGATTTGATGGTGCCCAGATTTTGCTGATTACTCTTTCTATTGCAGGCATCCTTGTAAACCATGTATGGTGTACCAGTTTCTGTCTGCGACTCAATGATGGCGTACCACAGCTGCTGAGCCTTCACCACACGCTTAGCCCTGCCCTCCTTCTCATATCTGAAAACCAAGACCATCATTGAGACAGGTTAGCACTGGAAAAAAAAGAAAAAAAGAGCTGTTTGTTGAGAACAGAGTTTGTCGTGCTGATCTTACCGAGTGTAGAGCTCCTCAAACTCCTCCCCCCAGCATTCGTCCAATCCAGGACATTCACTGGGACACATCAGAGACCAGTCCTACAATCACAGCAGAAGGATAAGATTTGTTCCTATTCACCATTTAGGAAAAAATAAAACCCTAAAGTCAACTCTGGCCAGCATGGGGTTTCCCCCAGTAATCACCTGATTGGTTTCCACTCGCTTCATAAAAAGATCTGGGATCCACAAGGCGAAAAACAGGTCCCGCGCCCTCTGCTCTTCTTTACCCGTGTTCTTCTTCAACTCCAAAAACTCAAACACATCAGAATGCCACGGCTCGAGGTACATAGCGAACGCCCCAGGCCTCTAAAGTAAACAAAAACCAAGCCAGGCGATTAGCACCATTTTATTTACACTGTTATTACACATCTTCCATAATTTATGGGAAAATCTCATCTTTACCTTGTTGCCACCCTGGTCAACATAACGTGCTGTGTTGTTGTACACACGAAGCATAGGAACCAGCCCGTTGGAAGTGCCATTAGTCTGTAAGAAACAAAACAAACACGCACCACTTCAAGTAAAAAACAAAACACGTTGGTATAAATGAAAGCAACTCGTCAAAATTTTACTCACCCCAGCAATATAGCTGCCTGTAGATCTGATGCAGCTAACTGCCACTCCAATACCTCCAGCTGATTTTGAGATAAGCGCGCACTGCTTCAGTGTGTCATAAATACCATCGATGCTGTCATCTATCATGGCTAGCAAGAAACAACTGCAGAAATCCAAACAAAGTATATTAGGCGGAAAAATCCCCACAGTATCAGAGCGTATCAGCACCCTCAATTATAAATTCTCTACCTGGACAGCTGAGGCCTGTTGGTGCCAGCGTTGAACAGTGTAGGAGAAGCGTGAGTGAACCACTTCTCTGACAGCAAGTTGTAGGTCTCAATGGCTGCATCAATGTCACCTTTATGAATCCCGACTGACACTCTCATTAGCATGTGCTGGGGTCGCTCAGCAACTACAGAGAAAGACGTTAAATAGTTAGTACCTGATGGCCTGCACCCATAAACATGCTTATCAATGAGTTATAGGGAATTTAACTCTCACCTTTGCCATTAATCTTCAACAAATACGATCTCTCAAGAGTCTGTCAGAGCAAAAACCACAAGTTAGATTCATAATCATAGTGTATGCACAATAGGGGTCAGAGAAAAAAAAAGGGGTGGATACATCACAGTATCCCAATAATTTTGATATTTTATTAGATAATGAAAATAGTTTTCTGTCATCTTTGCAACTTGTGGTGACTAAATGGTTGCACAGAGCTTCTGAGGGTGTTGAACACTAACGACTGCTTGATAAGAGGCAACTTTCCTTCAATCACTCTCAGAGATTGTGGAAGGCTTGCAAATAATCCCTGTCTGATTTGTAAATACAGATAGATTGCCGACATGTTGACATCAGTCTGAATGAATCTTTGTCAGTGAACACAATTCAAGGGGACTCGAGTCAACTGGCTGCCAGGTGGTTGTATACTGGTACAAAATTTTTGGAACAGGTTTTTGAGCGTAAATGTAATAATGTGAATTTTTCTCTATGTAAACAGCAACAGATATGCGATTTTTGACAATTTATAAGTTAATTGCTGTATTATCAGTAACAGATTGCTTATTATTATCATCATCACCTTAAGCCCATTTAGTACCAGACTGATGCAGTCTTATGGCAACATGTACGGCAGGTTTTAGTGACACCGTTGGTTTAGCCCAAAACACACGATTTTTTCTTTTGTGTGTGTGTGTGGGGGGGAGGAACAGATACTGACAAACTTTGAGGACATGATTTGCAGCTGAAAAACTGGGATAAACCACAGTGTATGTTGGTTATATATTCTGCATAATGCAACATGTTAAACATTGCAAAAATATCATATTATGAGAGAAGTACTGTAATATGTGTGTCTAATGCACAGGATGTTAAATGTAGGGTAAAATGAGAATTTACCTTAAACCCAAAGAAGTTGTAAGAGAAATCTCTGTCGTAAATGATTGACGAGTTGAGGCGCTGCAAAAAATTGAGGAAAATGTATTAAAAAGCTTCACCAAACTTTAACTGTGAGGAGACGAACAAAGGATAAAATCAAACCCCACTTACAGCCTTGTTTTCAAGAACAACGTCCAGCGTCTCCTTGGAGATCATAGGAGAGTGACGTTTATTTAAAGGGTTGATATAGTTGTAGAGGTCTTCCATAACGTCTACACAAGCAAAGAGGAATGTCAGTTCAATATTAGTGCTGATTA